TCGCCTTCTCTGTCGCTCTCCTGGCCCAGGCCCATCAGTATCAGGTCTGAGCTGTCCCAAACCGCACTTACCTCGGGTCTTCAAGCTCACACCGGCTCGTGATGCCACGGAGAGGGCTCCGAGATTGTCCCCGGTGGACCCCATCCGAGCCGATTGCGAGGGCATTACGGAGGTCATTGTCGGCGCCATCGACTGTGAAATGTCCCGACCCACAGCCCTCATGCACTAGGCTCATGGATGCAGTCATAATATGTAGGCCTTGTCTCCCGAAGTTTGGAGCAATAGCCGCAAATAGTACTTTTTGGCACTTCATCGCGACACGTCCAGGTGCCGACAAAGCGGCTTCCCAGCTCACCACCTCGCCTTCTCTGTCGCTCTCCTGGCCCAGGCCCATCAGTATCAGGTCTGAGCTGTCCTAAACCGCACTTACCTCGGGTCTTCAAGCTCACACCGGCTCGTGATGCCACGGAGAGGGCTCCGAGATTGTCCCCGGTGGACCCCATCCGAGCCGATTGCGAGGGCATTACGGAGGTCATTATCGGCGCCATCGACTGTGAAATGTCCCGACCCACAGCCCTCATGCACTAGGCTCATGGATGCAGTCATAATATGTAGGCCTTGTCTCCCGAAGTTTGGAGCAATAGCCGCAAATAGTACTTTTTGGCACTTCATCGCGACACGTCCAGGTGCCGACAAAGCGGCTTCCCAGCTCACCACCTCGCCTTCTCTGTCGCTCTCCTGGCCCAGGCCCATCAGCAGCAAGTCTGAGCCGTCCCAAACCGCACTTATCTTGGGTGATGAAGCTCACTCTGGCTCATACCACGGCTCTGCAGCCTCACACACGCCCGTTTCAGCCACAGACACCGCCGGCACGCACTCCCACTTCACACACGCTCAAGCACAACCCCATCAAAGCACATCCCTGCTCAGAATGGGCAAGGGCTACCACCTGGTGACCCTGGTAGCCTCTGGCTCGCCACTGCACTCGGCTCCTCTGCAGCGGTCTCGGCTCTCGCCACGACAGCACGCCGACGGCAAGCTTTGACGCCCGTCTGGTGGACCTGCTGTGGCCACAGCCGCCCCTGACATGCATCTCGCACCATGACTCGACACCGGGCCCGCTCAGCTTGGTCGTGGCGGCGTGTGTGAAGGATGCGCGGCCGAGCCGCTGGCTGGCGCCGCTTGAGCGTCCGAGATGGCCGCAGCAGAGGCCACGCGTCGCGCCGCCGGCCAAGCCCAGCCTCTCCGCGGTCCAGTCGGTCAAGCTGGCGGGGCCGGCGAAGATTTCGGGGACGTGACCACAACTCGGGCAGCGACAGCGCGCTTGAGCTTAGCTTGTCCGACACCCCTCAAAATCGGGGTCATTTCAATAGGGCCCACCTTGGCCTTTAAGGTATGAGATGGACAAGGGAGAGTGGAGAGAGCCCACACACTTGAGCTCGTCATAGCAGGTCTGGCTGCTTGCTGCTTCCACCCGGCCACCGAGCAAGTGCGACGGCAAGTCGCAAGAGCCGCCCCGAGGGTCGACGCCTCGAGTACAATCAATTCGTACCTCGAGGTACGTATGCTAGATGGGAGGTGTTGATGCAGTGGAAGGTGAGCCCAACACCCCAAGGCTTGGCGCAAGGCGGCGGCGGGGGGAGGGGGGGCTTGCTTATTTGTCGCGCTTCACGCTTGCGTGGTCTAACTCTCTCGCTCGCATGCACATGGACATGCTCGCATGCTTGAGCACTTGAGCACTGGATAGGGTCGGTTCCGCATGGTACGGGACCCCTCGATCGTCTCGCCCTCCCTCACTGGTGTGTTCATTGGGGGGGGTCATAACAAACACGGTACAGGATCGAGGTGCACGCTGCTGAAGCAGTGTCGTCCCCCCTCTCCCCGACGGCGATGGCGGTGTGACCGATCGAGCTACAAGAGGAACTTGTTCAGCATGATCAGAGCCGGACCGAGCAGTACCTCACTTCCTCATTGGGTGAGCTTCAGACCTCAAGCCCCAAACTCATCACCTTCGGCTCGTGTGGATTCGAACCACCGCCGGAATGGAAGCTTCCTGCTTCCATCAGAGTATGCCAGCCCTCCACCTGTTCCAGGGCGTCGGGAGGTCGGTCCAATATGTGCAGCGAGACGGGGGGGGGGGGGGAAGGGGGGGGGGGGGGGGGATTCTCTCTAACTGCCGGGAAACTAAGGGGGCTCCCCCCGGGCGGTTGCGGGGGCTAGCGGTGTTGCGGGTGTGGACTTGTGGAGCTGGTCGGGAACCCCACACACGATCTCTCTCTGTGACGGCGGAGTTGACGTCTCCGTCGGTCCTAGCGGCGTGGCTGAGGGCGGCGGTGGAGGCGCCCGAGGGCGCGGCGTGGCTGGTCTCATGGGTCTAGCAAACCATAGACCACGCTGAGAGAACGCAACGAAAGCCAGGCGGGCGATAGCAGGACGCACGAACTAGTTAGAGGTAATGACCTCGGTGGGTGTGAAAGGTCTACCCATTACCCAAGAAAGGGTAGGCGCGGTTAGATGGGAGGTAGAATGTCTACCTACCGCACCCCCCCCAATGTCGCTGGGCGGGCTCGGCCCGCAGAGGCGGCATTGATCAGTTCCCCCAATGCACCGCGCGAGCTCGCGCGTTGGAGGCGTGGTCGACGCTGCGCTTGAGCTTCTCCTTGGGGACCCATTTCGTTAAGAAATCGGCGGGCATGAGGTCGTCGGTGATCTTGACGACGCGGCACTCGCCGTCGGCCATGCGGCGCTGCAGCGTGTGGTAGCGGCGCAGGAAGTGGCGCGAGCGCGAGGCGGATTTTTGGCGTTGTTGGCGACGAGGACGTTTGCCTTGTTGTCCGAGAGGATGACGGTCGGTCCGGTCGGCGGGGCGCCGAGGGCGACGAGGACCTCGCGGGCGTATGCGACGAGCTCGCCCGCTTTGGCACTGGCGATGGCCTCGCTCTCGTGTGAGGAGTCGACGACGAGGCCGATCTTCTTGACGCTGTGCATGACGGCAGCGCCGAAGCAGGTGAGCAGCATGCCGTAGAGGTCGAGGTCGCCGTTCCAGGTGGCGTCGGCGGCGGCGACGAGCTCGGTGGGCGCGTGCGAGTCGAGCCCGGCGATGTGCGCGCTCATGCGGCCCTGCAACTCGGCCTCCGCGTCTAGCCCGCCGTACGTGATGCCGTCGTTCTTGCGGTCGTAGGCGGTGCAGAGCGCGGCGCGCGCCACCTCGTAGGCCTCGGGCGGCGGCGACGACATGACGCACGAGAGGCGGTGGAGGACGAGGGAGAGTCGCGGTTGCACGCGCTCGACGAATTTGAGGTGGCCCCGATGATGCTCTGTGTCCGCGCGGCGTGGCTGGTCTCATGGGTCTAGCAAACCATAGACCACGCTGAGAGAACGCAACGAAAGCCAGGCGGGCGATAGCAGGACGCACGAACTAGTTAGAGGTAATGACCTCGGTGGGTGTGAAAGGTCTACCCATTACCCAAGTGCCAAGAAAGGGTAGGCGCGGTTAGATGGGAGGTAGAATGTCTACCTACCGCACTCTCGAGCGGATGCCAAAATAAATTCAACATGAAAAAGGGGCTCCCGGAGACCCATCATGGCGGCTCTACCTCTGCATGTCGCTGGCCTGCCGTTGTTCCAGCGATGTGCAAACCTCGACGTCACCCCTCGCTGTCGCTGTGTCTCCGCCCCGCCGGCTCTTGCCGCACGGCGCGAGGTTCTCCTGTCCGCCGCGGCGCCACTTCGACGCGCGCGCCCAGGCCGGCCGGCAGCTCAGAGCTTGAGAGTGGGGACCGCGTCGAGGTTTGGGAGGGGCTCGCCGCGGAGGCGGCGGCGGTACTGGCCGAGGGCCCAGAGGGGGAAGATGTTGCGGTAGTTTGCGTACGTGATCATGCAGTTGTGGTTGAAGACGCCTACGCATGACCAATTCACAACCACTCATCGCGCGCCCACCTGTTGAGGATGAGAAAGGTGTGGCCGAAGATGCCGGAGATGAGCTGCTGCGGCCAGTCGCCCGTCGGCTCCTGCATCGACATCAGGAAGGCAGCCGCGCGCGCGAGGACCGGCGCCGCGCCGGCCATCGACTCGTCGCAGCCTTCCGTGCCGGCGAGGAGGGCGAGCATCGCCCACGACGTGTTGACGACCTGAGGACAAAAGAAATACGTGCTCCCAAAAGAAACACGGCGCGGACGACGTGTTGACGGCCTGCGGCGCGTCCGCGAACGGTGACTACGCCGGCTGAGGGATCAACGGAAGGAAGGGGAGGCATGCACTCGATGGCGTGGCTGGCGACGCGTCCGCGTGCCAAGTGGTGCGGTGAGGGAAGGAGTGCGCTCGTGCAAGCGGGTGTGGGGGGGGGGCCTGCGACGCGTCTGCATGGTGGTACTCCTTCCTCGAGGACGACAAGTAGGACTCGCCCCAGCCGCCGTCGGGCAGCTGCTTGGAGCGCAGAAACGCGAGCGCCTTGGCGACGTGCGGCGAGGTTGCCTCCCGCTCGCCGACCGAGGCGAGGCCGACCACGCCAAACCACGCGCCTGAGGCCACGTAGTACGGCTCCATCTCGGCTCCATCTCGGCTCCATCTCGGCTCCATCTCGGCTCCATCTCGGCTCCATCTCGGCTCCATCTCGGCTCCATCTCGGCTCCATCTCGGCTCCATCTCGCGCCATAGGTGAAGCAGACGCCCCACGAGCCGTACCACGAGCCGTCGGGCCGCTGCTTGTCGCGGATCCATTGCGCGCCTATCCGCGAGCCATCAGCCATTAGAATGAGCGCGTGGGCCACCCAGCTGCGTGTCGCGGGTCCACGGCGCCGAGCTTGATCGCCGTCGAGATCTCGGCGGTGCGGTGGCCGGGATGGCGGCGGTGGAAGTGCGAGAGGGCGGTGATGCAGGCGCAGGTCAGCTCGCAGTACGAGTAGTCGATGACGATGTCCCCGAAGCACTCAGACGGGTTGAGCAGCTCGAGCGCCGCGGGGCCGCGCGTGTTCTCGTAGGTGGCCCAGCCGCCGGTGCCCCAGTGCTCGGCGGTGTTTTGGTACGAGAGAATGACGTTGACGCAATCGAACAGCCGCTCCGGCTCGAGCGCCGCTACGCCGGGCAAGCCGAGGGCCTGCACGCCAAGACAGCCGAGGGGTGTGGCCTCTCCCTCGGCTAGAGATCGGCTGAGATCGGCTAGAGATCGGCTAGATCTCCACCCAGATCTCGGCTAGATCTCCGCCTCGACAGCGATGACGCCCTTGAGCCCTTCCGAAGAGCAGTCCGAGATCGGCCAGCCGTGGTCCTATCGTAATGATAAGCTACAATGCAGCAGGAGATCATACAGCAGGACGAGATCGGTCAGCCGGGTCCTGGGTCGAGAAGGGCCACGCGCCGTTTGAGATGTGGCGGTAGTACCTCTCCACCTCGGGGCAGTCCTCGCGCACTTGCGACGCGTCGAGGTACTCGTGCGCCTTCCTCAGGATGGGCGAGACCTCGGCCTCCTCGCCGAGGCCCGACGCCGCGATGGCCTGCACTGCAAAGGCCGTGTCCCACGCCTGCGACCCGTTGTAGCCCTGCATCTTCATGCCGTCCTCGGCGAGCCAGAGGTAGTCGAAGATGCGGGGCAGGTGCGCCTTGAATGCCTCCCCGTGCGGGTCGTCGTACCAGCAGCAGACCATGTTGATCGCCTTGTTGACCGGGCCGATGTCGACATGCCGTGTCGATCCGTCCTCGTGCAGGATCATGTCGGCGCACCACGACAGCGCGCGGCGGCGTAGCCAGGCAGGGATCCACGGCTCTGCTGCGGCGACGACCTTCCAGAGCAGGTCCTGCAGCGGGTGGTGCTGCACGTACATGTCTGCCGGGCCGCAGTTGTTGCGCTGCTCCTCCCACGCGATCTCAGAGTACGGCTCCACGTAGAGCTCCTTGCGCAGGGCCTCCGTGAGGGGCGTGGGCGGGCAGGCGGCGCGCTTGCCGTACAGGTACGACATTGGCAAGTAGACCATGCGGCAGTGGCACCAGAAGCGGCCCGGGTGGACGATCAGCCAGTAAGGCAAGATCCACATCTCCGGCGGCAGAGGGTTGATGCCGCGCCACTCGTACACGCCCAGCAACGCGAGCCAGAACTTCGCCCACGACGTGTTGTTGACGGCGCCGCCGCGGCCGTGCATGAAGGCGCGCGCGCGGAGGCAGTGTGGGTCGTCCGCCGCCATGCCCAGCAGCCGCGCGGCGACGTAGTTAAGCGACGTCCCGAACATCGTCGAGTGGCCCTCGATGTGCAGCCCCGTGCCTCCGTCCTCATTCTGGTGGTTGCGCAAGTAGCGCAGCATCTCAGCGCGGTGCTCCGCCGGCAGCTCCGTCTCCGTCACGTAGCAGGCGATCACCAGCCCGGGAAGCAGGAACATCGGCCCGCCGTAGTCGCCCGGCCAGTGGCCGTCCTCCATCTGGAGGCTGCCGTAAAAGCCGATGCCGTGCCGCAGAGACGCGTCGACCTGCTCTGCCTCGGCGGCGCCCTTGGGGAGCGGCTTCGCCGCGCGCCGCTTCCCGCCCGTCTCGCGCAGCGCCTGCAGCCGCAGCGGCTCGTCCGCCGAGTGGTGGCGCACCTCGGCCATCGCCTCGTACTCGCGCCGAAAGTGCGAGAGCGCGTCCGCCTCCCAGGCCGCGGGAGCGGCGGCCGGGTCGAAGGTCCACAGCTGGCGGCCCGTGTTGCCGTTCAGCGTGTGCTTCACCGGCCCGAGCGGCGACTCGCCCGTGCGGGTACGGAGCGTCCACGTGCCCTTGCGCGCGGCCGGCGCGACCGGCTCGGGAAGCGTGCGCGTCACCGGGTAGGTTGTCCGCCACGTTGGCGAGTAGAGGAGGCGGTGGATGAGGCGGAGAACTATGCGGAGCGGGAGGAGGAGCGCGTGGAGGAGGTCAGCGAGCACGGGCATCTCAGCGTCGAGGCTTCTGCTTCGGTAGAGTAGGAGGAGAGCTTCTTGGGGGAGCTCTGCCAACTCGTTGGCTCTTCCTTGTGCAAAAAGAGAATTTTACCCGGTAGAATTTACAAGGGAACTCCCTCGCAGAGCCCATTCTCACCAGCCCTGCCCCGCAGCGCGGCCGCTCGCCAAGCCCCGTCGATGAGTGGTCAGATGGTTAGTGCCCGAGAGCGAGGGGTCCGGGGGGGAGCACAAACATAGGACGCCCAGCCTTGCCCTCGTGCCGCCGAGTGCGTATCCTATGCGAGAGAGATCCCCTGTGCCCTGTGCCCAGCCCTCTCCGCGCGGCGATGCGCCCTCCCCCCTCGCTTTTGCAAAATCCTGCAAAGGTGGGGACGTGTCTGTCCTCGACCCAGCCCTAGCTTGGGATGTCCGTTGTATTTATTTATTTATTAACTCCCTCGCACAACACTGGGCACGGGACTGGCGCGCACTGGCACTAACACAGGTACACCACTGGAGCCGAAGAAAGAGAATTTTCGAAGAAATCGGAGCGAGCCGATGGGTTTCTCGGAGTTAAGTGCACCACCAACCGCCGAAGCGCAACAAACAAAAACAAGTACTACACCGTCCGCGGCGGCTACCTGACTGAGTTCTACCCCAAGAGCGTCCCGCTCCCCGAGCCCGAGTCCCTTCCAGCTACCGACGCGATTCTCAATGGCACTTGCAAATCCACGTACCCGCGGCCGCGGGCGCTCGCTGCCATCAAGAATCACAAGGACTGGTACGCGCACCAGGAGCTCGTCAAGGCGCGGGATGTGCACGTCAAGAACAACCCGTCCCTCGGAGACAGCGCCGTCAACAACCGCGAAGCCGCGCGCTTCGTCTCCGCCTCAACGCCTTTCGCCGGCAAGGCCTTCGATGTCCGTGTCGACGGTACGTACGCCACCGCCCTCTCCTCCGACACCCTCCAAGACGAGCTCCAGCGAAAGCTCGGCCTTTGGCTCTCCGCGGCGCTTCCCACCCTTCGGGTCGCGCTCGAGCGGGGCATGCCAGTCGATTTCTTCGGCGACTACCTTTACAACAAGGCCCACCACCGGCGGCCCCACGACGGCGTCCTCGCCGCCTGGGCGGACGCGATGCGCGCCCCGGCCAACGCGCCGGTCGTGCACGGCGACAAGGAGAAACCAGAGCTCACCCGGCAGTACAACGAGGGGTACAAGGTCGACCTCGCGGAACCCCATGCGGGACCGGGAGGATGCGATGAGGTGAATGAAGTCAAGCTCTGGACGCCCCTCCTCAAGACCTCCTCGCCGGGCGCTGGCAACGCCTCGAGCGGCGGCACGCCCGCCTCCGTTGGCCACTCCTACGCCTTCGGCAACACCGAAGAAAAGGCCCGCCGCCTAAACATGGGCTGCAAGGCGCGCGGGCAGCCCGGCCAACCCTTCGACCACAAGACCGGCCACGGCTACGTCAAGGCGCATCGCGGTTTCTACCACGACGCGATCTTTGTCAAGCGCAACAACTTCAACCTGCTGCTCCACGAGACGTTCGGCGGCGGCTTCTCGCCCACCGCCGTTCTCAAGCTGCGCCGCCTCGCGCGCAAAGTCGCGCGCGGCAGCGTTGACCGCACGGCCTACTCGCCCAAGTACTCGCTCTCTTTTATGTCCCACCATGCAGAGCGCATCTCTCTCTCTGTTGTGCGAGGCGTGAACCGCGCCATTCGCTCTCACCTGGCAACCCTGTCTGCACGTCTCGCGCGCGCGTGAACAGGGCTCCAGGCCCCAAATTACGTGTGAGTGTTAGAGTTGTTTGGTATTGCTAAAATCTCTCCGAAGCGCAAGCGCTTGGAGCAAGAAAATGGAGCTAGGCTAGGGTTGCGCAGCTATGAACAGGAGCGAGTTCGCGCTGCGCTAGGCTCAGTACGGCGAGTTCGCGCTCTGCACCGCTACTCCGTAGACCGTACGGCTCTCTTGGTCTTGCGGAGAGGCCTTTACCCTTTATCTCTCGGCTGCGTTGGCTCGCCAAAGTCTTTGTTCTCGATGGCGCTGGGTCCGCTGACTGGGGCGGGCGTGGGTGTGCGTGTTTGGTAGAGCAGCAAAAACGCACGTCGTCCGGGTTCTGTCGTGACTCGTGTGCGTCGCCGAGCGTGCGGGCGGCGAGAGAGGCGAGGCTGAGCCTGTGCGTGTGGCGAGAGCTAAGACAGAGCAGTGCGAGAGTTACACACGACACACACGACACGACAGGGACACAGACACAGACACAGACACACACTGCGCTCCCCTCAGCGGGTAGGGAGACGCGAACCCGACGGAGTCAGGTGGTGGGGGCCCACGCAGCCAGCCCCTGCGTTGCAAAGGTTGGTGCTGAGCCGCCGCCGCCGCTCGCTCTCGAAAAGCGTCGCGCTGCTGCCCGTTCCCGGAGCGACGAGCGCGAGTTTGGTGGCCAGGGCCTCGCCTGAAGGGGGGGCGGGGCAGGGGGGAGAAGTGAGGACGTCAGCGAGCGGGTGGGGCTGCCGGGAAGGTGGTGGGCGGGGCGTGGATGCACCTTAAACGGGCGAGTAGCGGGAAGACCGTCGATACTCCGGCGGAAGAGTGCTCCCCCGCCGCCCCCTGGGTCACCCCGAGTGACCTCGCAGCCCACGCCGTGAGGCGCTGCTGTCAGGGGAATGTTGGGGGCGCGCAAAGCCGCTCGGAAGAGACGGCCAGGAGCCAAGGGGCGGCCGGAGCGCGGCGAAAGACCGAGGGGAAGTGGCCGCCGCATACAGCCTCCGGCGGGCCTCCGGCGGACGCCTGCGGCGTGGCGCTGCGCGCGACCGGCCCCTTCTCGGTGCGCTGCAGGACGCCCTCGCTCAAACGCGCACCTGCCGGGTCGGGGCGGTCACGGGACCGGCTGAAATTGCGGCCGCAGCTGCTTGGGGGGGTGAGGATGGCCGGGCTTGAACGGCTTCTCGCGAGGTACCCGCATCCCGACGCAGCAGCGATTTGGCATTCTATATCTTTCGCGGTTTTCGCCAAGCGCTGGCGCGGCGTAGCGGCGCACATAAATTTCTTTTTACTCGCGCACCCGCGAGATAGGAGCTCCGCGGAGCCGCCAGGCGCCCGCCCCGGCGATTCGCTCGCTACGCGTCGCTCACCGCCGGGGCGGGCGCCTGGCGGCGCCGCTGCGCAAAAACACTACGACGTATTGTAGTCTTAAAGAGAATTCTAGCTGGAGGAAAGAATTCTAGCTCTTTAGCGAGTCCCGGACCATGCGGAATACCAAAGAAACACCAGCCAAACTTGCACGTGACAGCCTCGACCGACCCGCGCGCGAGATGTTGTCGTCCTTCTCGCCGTCGGCCGAGGCGCACCGCCTGGCAATCCACCACCCTCTCAACCTCACCATCAGGCCCGTGGAGCACACGGCCTCCTCTCGTCGATTCGCCGACTGCTCGGCCGGCGTCGTGCACCCAAGCCGCCAGGTCTGCTGCAACGCCACGTGCGGGCTGTGTGGCGGACATGGCTGCTCCGGTCGCCCCGGCGGGCCACGCGAGTGCTGCATGCCCGCTATTTTGCGTACGGGTCAGGTCTGCGAATCACGGGCGGACGTGGCCTGCATCCTGCGGGGCAGCAGCAACTACATCCGAGGCGATGGCGTTGAGCATCGCGGCAGCAGTGGTGAGGGGTTCCCCAGGGCTCCACCACCGCCGCTGCCATCGCCTCAGGCGCACGCACAAGCACAGACCAATCTCGGCACGAACGTCACACCGGCACTGAGCCATGACGTGGGCATGGAGAAGAGGCAACGCTCCGTGACCGTCAGCGGTTCCACGCGGCGGCTGACAGTCGGCATTGCCACAATGGTGCACATGGACGTGGACTTCCGTGCAAGCAGCTCCATGACACCGGGTCACCTGCACAACACATTTTGCGGTTTAGCAAAGTGGTGCTACAACGCCGCGCGCTGGGTGCAGCTCCTGAGGCAGGAGGGATCACACCGTGCTGGTGTGCTCGTTCTGACGGACAATGCGAGCTTTGTGGCCGCCGAGTGTGCCAGCGCCTCACCCACCATACGCGGCATCGACACGAGGTTGGCCCACGCCATTGGTAACTTCTCCATTCATTATGCCCGCCACGGGCCTCGGGTCCCCGCTGCGTCCTGCCCGTCCTGCCACTGCAACGTCCCAGGCTGCCTCGGTGCCCGCTTTCAGAGGGCGGCCCTCTCCAAGTGGCAATTCGTCAATCTCGTCAGCTGGGATGTGCTCCTCGTCACAGACCTGGACGTCGACCTCTTCCACTACCCTCTCCAGCCGACGCGCCTGGCGGCGGCCAATGCAACGATTTCGAGCGCTCTTCAGGGGTTTTGGGATTCAGGCCGGCAGCTGCGCGCGAGCTTCGATGCTAGTTCACCCGTCAACGCAGGCTGCTTGCTGCTCCGGACGAACCGCTCGACGTTCGCGCTCGGGCTTGACACACTTGAAACACTCCGCTTCAACACGTCGACCGGGTTCAACCTGAGCGGAGCGCCGCGCGCGGTTCTCAGTACTGCAGACCGGCGGCGCTATGGCCCCACAGTGATGGTGAGGGACAACAAGTGGAACTTTGTGGGGGGGAATGCCGACCAAGGCCTCTTTGCTTACGTGTACATCGCGAGGCTGCGGCAGAAAATTGCGCCGGGCGCCAAGTGCGGCTGGAGCGCACGCCACTTTCACGCTGCTGATAAGCCATGGTTGCTGCACTTCACCCGCTGCATCGCCTACTTCGACTTCGTCAGCACCAACCGCACCACCTCATGGCCAACATCGCCGTGTGTGCGTTGGCTTGAGGTCAGGTACGCCCAGGCGAGGCTGATGCCAAAGCCAACGTGGCCTGAGTGCGGTGGAAAAAGTCAGTGCATCATCTGGGTGTGACGTGAGTTAGACGAGGATCAGATGAAATAGGAATCCAATAAATAAACAAAGAGCTGGACAAATGCCAAATTCCAAATCGCAGTTATAGAGAAACCCACAAGACGGCAACGCAGCAGAGCACAGGCACATGACGATGATGATTCAGCGCGTGACCGCCAACTCACCAGCACAGGCAGTAACGGGCCGACGATTACGCAGCAGCGCGCCGCGCGCCAGTCTGGTCTCGAGAGTTCAACTTACGTCCTGCCGTCCCCCGACGCCCGGGGCGTGCTGGCAGTTTTCACCCCTCCCCAACGCCAGGCCGGTCCATGGCGGCCAGGCAATCCTCTCCTGGGGCGGGGGCCCAGCCAACGCCTCCTCTCTCCCCCGTAGCAACCCCATGCTCGTCGGCGAGCTCCACCTCCGACTCGGCATCGCAGAACGACAATTACAATTGGGACGATGGGCTACCGGACCCAGTGGTGGCCTGGCCGATGGACGACGTTATCCATGAGATGCAGTCTAACGCTGTGCTGGCCCAAGTCGACGCTGTGATCTGGAGGATGCGGCACAGCCTCGACAGGCTCGTGACGGGCATCGCGCGCGATAAGCCTGCGATGCCCGGGCACAAAATGCAGGCAACGCGGATCAAGCTCCAGTACGACAGGACGGACGAGTACAAATCCAAGCTACGCTTAGCGACAGCGCTCCACGACGCCAAGGGTGCGTGCCATGCCGAAATATGGGGGCTCGTGCCAGCACCTCACTGACGTCACACCACGCCGCAGGAGACTTCGTTCTTGGAAAATCAACGTTGAAGTCGATAAAAGAAGCACGGAGTCTGATCAATCTGTGCGAGCAGGCGTTGGTGGGCGAAGACGATGTCCCACCATCGCCTGCTCCTTCCCCTCCCGAACCACAGCCCACGCGCTCGATTGGAGGGCCCTCCGGAGTGCCCTCCTCGATTGCCTTGTGGGCGCTCGCTGTGCTCTTTCTGTTTGCTGTCTTCGGCCCTGAGTGGGTCCGTCCCATGCTCATTGCCGGACCCATCCTGCTCGCACACGTGGTCTTCTCCTTCCAGCGGGAGGAGTGTGAGACAAACACCAAGGGCGCCGCTGCTGATGAGGAGGCAGCTGCGCCCGTGGCGTGTCGCACTGCGCCCTCCTCAGGCGGCGTGACGGTGACTCAGCTGCTCGTCGCCGCCCTGGCGGTGCTCGCCCTTGCGATGATAGAACCCTCTACTCTTTCGCGGCCTACCGCCGCCGATGCAACTGCTATGATGCTGCTAAACATTGTTCGGTTGGGGCCGGTCCTCCTCGCGATCATGCTTTGCGGAGTCCTTGTGCGCCCGCCTCCCCTTCCGCTTGACATCACGAGAGCTGCCAAGAGAGGGAGGGGACATGTCCCGTAGGTATCCTTCTTCATGTGCCCCGACGGCCGTCTCCGATCCATCGTCGCCATTCTCGCCCTGTGCGCTATCAGCGTGGCCATCGGCTTGGCTCTGGTTAACGTGCACAGCGCAGTGACCTACACACCCCAGGAGCTGGCGGAACGGATGCAGATCGCTACGACGCGGCCAGCGACCCACGTCGCCATCTTCTACTGTGCCGCGGCATTGGGTGCGATAATCGGCTCGCGGCCTCCCGAGCAGCTCTCACGCCGTATGAGGTTGATCTCTTTCGCCCTTCTGGCCGTCATCTCTCTGAGCGCCGACGTCATCCTGTTCACTCGGAGCGGTGACGTTCGCTTCCTCATGGGACAGGCCTGCTTCAACGCGCCCATGGCGGTCGCGTACTGGCTGTCCGGCTCGCCGAGTTGCGGCTCCGGCAAGCCCAAGGCAGCTGATCGCGCGAGGCAGATGGTCCACGCGCTGCGTTCAAGTTCAAGTGTTCAGGCGTGAGCGCTTCGTACGACCGTCGCTTAGTGGGAGGGCGGCGGCCATCTGCTGCTGCTCGGGGACCAGGGTGTCGGCAAGAACAAGCTCGCCGACCGGCTGCTGCAGCTACTCGGCGCAGAGCGGGAATACGTCCAACTGCACCGAGAGGAATCGTGCCCGCCGCGCGGGCGTCTCCTCGTCATGGGGTGCGACCTCGATGGTCGCGGCGACGGCTTCAGCCTCCAGCGGGGTCGTGCACACTGGTCGTTATAATATTAACCTCTCCAAATGCGCACACATAGATCGATCATGCTTGTGGAGGCCCCGTGTGCTCACTGACAGACTCTGTCTGAGCCGAGAGTGGGGTGACAGAGTTCGGATTGTTTGCGGCCACCTCATCCTCTGTGCGCCGCTTCCTTATCTCCTCCTTGATCTGGACGACAGTCTCATACAAGACGTACAGCGCAATGGCGAAGATGATCGCGCACACCACCAACGCGGTGATGTTGTCCGCCTTGTCGCCGTCAAAGCTCTTGTCATTGTCGTAGACCCAGATCAGGATGGAGCAGGCCATTTCGGTGACGGTGCGCATCGTATCGGCAATCACATGGGCAAGGGCGGAGAAAACGTTGAGGTCGGCCGTAGAAGTGATCGCCGCCTCCTGCTCCTGCTCCGCACCGGCCGTGCTGCTCGCAACAAGCTCTGCGTTCGCGGAGCTCACACGTGCACGCAAAGCACGCGCCTTGCGCGTGAGGAGGCCCTGCCAGCCACCGCGCTTGCGCAGCAGGATGGAGCCGAGCATACCAATATCGATGACCAGGTTTCCCGCGGTGAAACCGAACATGATATACTGATTCGGCGAGTCGCTGGTGTCGCCCCCTCCCTCCTCGATCCCCTTGACCGACTCGAGGATGTTCAGAATTGCGACGGCGACGAGAGCGACAAACGAGATGCCTGCGGCCGAGATGTCGACGGCCGCCGAAGTGCGACGCTTCGCCCCACCGATCCGGAGATACTCGGCGAGTATGTTGATCAGGTACGTGGCCGAATCAACAAACATCGTGCTCGTGTCAGAGAACAAAGCTTGCGATCCTGACAATATCGACCCAAAGAGCTGCGCAACCGTGAAGATGCTATTGAAGAGGAACGTGGCCCACAACGCCCTGATGTCGTGGGAGCCGCACGCTGTGCAGATCACCGTCGGTGGCTGTTCCACGTCGAGGAGCGATGCGGCGCCGTCAGCAACCATCCGGAAAGATTGCCAGGCCGGGCGCTGGCTGGTATTGCGAGCAATTGTTTTGTCGGGTGGCGATTCGGGCGGCCCGAACAAGAAGAATTTAGACAAAACAACTCTTCTCACAGCAGACAGGCTCGACACAAGAAGAATCCTAGCATCGTTAGCTCTACTTCGTTTCTTTGCCTACTTTTCCTGACTGGTGTGTGCGGCGGTAATAGTTTTCATATCGACTCTCTCCAGCCAGCGCCCACGGCTGGCCACACGCAGGCCCTGGCACGAAATCACCCGGCCTGAGGCAGGCTGTCGCAAGCGTCTGGCTTTCCGCCGACGTACCTCTCCCAAACGCAGAGCATCCGCTTGTGCTTGTCGGGGTGGTAGTTGAAGTGCACCATCACGGGCCAGTCGGCCTCTGCCGTCAACCTGCCCGGAAAGAAGCGGCGCCGCTCCGAGAAGAAGAACACCTTTGAGTTCATGAACTGGTCGTACTGCATCACCCGCACCTGAC